AACATGATATGCACGTTGCTTTGTCGAAAACTATCCCCCAATACAATTTGTTAATTAAGGAGAAGCAGCAGCAACCATCACATTAAAAATTTTAGTTATAAAAAATTTTTATGCTATTAAAATAATAAAATTAAATGTTTTCTAATTATGGATGTCTTTTTGCAATTATTTTTTTCACAGGGGGGTGGTCCGTGACTTCTTAAAAACTTTTAAAAGGGGTCCATTATACCAAAAAGGTTAAGAAACACTGGTGTAGACAATGCAGTTTAGCTGGTGAAAATTCCAGGCAGTTGTAAAGTACTTATATGGAAACAATACAGGGACAGTTGATATAAAAAATGTCGTTTATTACTATGGGGTGGAAAAACTATTTTTTGTTACTATGTTATCCAAAGACCTACATAAAATATGCTATAAAAAAAGAGGATGGGAAGAAAAGGGACACATGAAAGGAATTATATATTAAACAAAATTCTTTCGGTTACTAGTTTGCTTGATTTAAGCAGGTTATTATCAATGTGTAGAATTATTTCAAAAGTGTATACAAACCTTTACGTAAAGTTTATTTATTTTTTTATTTTCACGGCAAAAATAGCCCTCTAACCTTCCTGAACATCTATGACTAGCTAGATTACATTTTATAACGTAAATTGTTAATGCTAATGTTATTTCAAAAAAAAAAAAAAAAAAAAAAAAGAAAANGGTAGAGAGAAAGGAAAAAATATAATCAATAGGAATCCTGAATAAAGGAATCTCAAAAACAAAAAAAAAAAAAACTGCTCTTTCGTTTACATTTTAAATAAAATATACAAGCTCCAACATATTTCTTCAAAATTCCTCAAATTTTTAAAATACGCCATTCAAATACCTTCACAAAGTCTACATAAGTCAATCATCCCTAAATACAACCTAATTAATTAAATACAAATTAAATTAACTAAAGTTTAAATGCTTCTTATCAAAATTTAATTCATGATTTATTTAGTTAGAGATAAAAATGAGTTCGAGCAAATATTTCTTATTGAAACCAGATATCCACCTGATTTTTTTCGAGCCTGAAATTACACAATAAAATAAATCTTTTAACCAAATAAAACAAAAATAGTAATTATAAAAATTTTCTAGCTCCTCCTTGAGAATAATAAAGTACGTAAACATACGCAAAACATTACCCCCCCCCACTCAGCTTCTCTGGAATCAATCCGAAATATCGGCATGTTTAGGCATGTATGTATCAAATTTCATTAAAATTGAAAATGACATGGTAAAATAACGTACATTTTTTTTTAAAAAACACCTCACATGCATTTCGGTTTCGTTAAATATCGATATCGAGCCTTTCTAGTGGTGCAGATAATATTATAAATAAATCAAATAAAAATGTCAACTGTCGCCATTATTTGTTGCCATATAATGGAGACGGTCAAGCAAATACAGAAAAGAAAGGAAAAAAAATGGACATCCTTTTCGGGTGAGTGAGGTTGAGGTGAAAAAGGGGATGGGCCAGCAGGAGCGCGATCAGACAGTTGCGTGTACCGTTAAATGCTCGCAGCACGATATATCCTTTTCCTAAATTCTGGAGCGAGAGGATTGGTTTCGGTTCAGGGGTTTCGGGTCTCTCGATTTAGTTGCCGACAAGCAAGCAGGTGGACTCGTGCAACAGGACATTCCAATGAAAACTATCAGTTCGTATATGTAGGCTAATATCATCATTAAAGCTAAAATAATATGACAAATAAGTATAAGAGGGGTGAATAAACATTTTTGTCTACACTACGTCTTGATATTAATGCTAGCTATCAGGGGTTTGTCCAGACATTTTGTGAAACGTCCGTTTTTGTAAAATTGTGAAAAAATTACTTATAATTTGTTTGTAATAAACGTTAAGTCACATTCTTTCAAACAGGGTCCGCTTTTGTGAATTTGTGCAAATAGGGTCCATTATTGCAAAAAAACTTTTTCAAGGAGTTTTTAAATTGTTAAGACATACAAGATTATGCTTAACACTGAAAAATAATAATTAAAAAATTAAATTTTAAAAAATAAACAGCAATTGCAGCTACTAAATTAGCGATGCAGCATACAAATATTTGGTATTTAGCCTATACTGCTGAACGCAGAATATTAATTTCGGACGAATAAAGGAAGAAGCGTCTGCCGAAGACAACATTTAGATCGTTTAGTTCAACACTTTCTCCCCCCCCCCTTCCTGGGAAGGGTTTATTCGATTAACAAAACAATAAAAGATAAACAACTTTGTGAAGGGTCCGATTAGAAGATAAATTATTTTGTGAAGGGTCCATTTTTAAGTTAAAATATTTTGAGAAGGGTCCGTTTTTATGAAAAGATATTTTGTGAAGGGTCCGTTAACGGATCCAAATTTCTTCTAAACAGACCCCTGGCTATGTACTTCAAAATGCGTGTTTACAAAAATGGACACACACATAGCATTTTTTAATGTTGTAAATTTAAGTTGTAGGAATTTCTTAAAATTTTAAACTCACTTTATTGTTTAGAATTCTGAATACGAAGACATAGCCTGAAAAATAACACGTGTAATATACTTAGTCACCCCGACCCAGAAGTCCAGGATTCTGCCCCGCAATGATTATAAATAGTGTTTAAATAAGTATCAAAAGTAAGCACGCTATTAACAGTTTAGTCGTGAAATTTGGGTTAAAAACGGAAAAGGTGCATCTTTAGAAGTGCCCATTTTCGTAAACACGAATTTCGAGCGTTGCCCATTTTCGTAAACATGTGTTTTGATCTATATTCATTTTAGTAAACACCAATTCGAGCTGTGTCCATCTTTGTAAACACACGTTTTGAGCTTGTCTATCTTAATAAACAAGAATATTGAGCTATGTCCATTCGAGTTGTCAATTTTTCAAAAAACTTATCTTGAGCTATGCCCATTTTCGTAAACACGCTAATGAGCTGTGTCCATTTTCGTAAACGCGCATTTTGAGCTATGTCCATTTTCGTAAAAGCGCATTTTGAGCTGCGTCCATTTTCGTAAACACGCATTTTGAGCTGCGTCCATTTTCGTAAACACGCATTATGAGCTGCGTCCATTTTCGTAAACACGCATTCTGAGCTTTATCTATTTTTGTCAAACACGTATTTTTAACTTATTCATTTTCATAGATATGCATTTTCCGCTATGCCCAGATTTAAAAACTCACCGACGAAAGATTTTTCTTAAATCAACAGAATTTCAACAGTTCCTTGTGGAAACAATTATAAGCCTCTACTTGTTATGAAACTGACAGAAAAGAATGATTCAGCTAATTTCAAATTCGCCCTCGCAATCGTCAGGTTAAGAATAAAATAAAAAATCCAAATGGCAAAGGTGGAGCGAGAACACTAGGACAGAGGTTAAAACTGAAGGTCAGTGCTAACAGTCGTGAAAGATTCGAAACATTTACTATTTCTATTTGTAATAGAAACTGAAAACAATCAAACATTTGCGAGACAGTAAGCAGTAAGTTCTTGATAGTTAAGTTTTAACTCGAACAATGGTTTCATCGATTCTTTTGTCTAGACTAGACCCTGTAAACCCAACTTTAGCGTTAAAGATTTAATAAAATTAATAAATAATTTTATGTTTAAGATAATTTGAACAAATTGATTATTAAAAAAATATTAGAAATATAAAAGCTAAAAGATGAGAGACCCAGCATAATATTATGTGGTAAACGCCCAGTTCGCTACCGCTCACCAACCCCGAAGATTGATTCCCAAAAATAGCTTTTTTTTTTCCTTTTCTTGCCATAAAACAGTTTTTTCTACGAAAGTTGAAATTCTCCACTTAAAAAATATGCTAAAAGAATTCGGCTTGCTTACGCTTGAACCCCAACTTCCCACGTTCAAACATTTTCCTTACGGATTCCATTAAGATCTATTAGTGAACATATGTTATTTTTCCAAGTAATGATTTTTTAAAATAACATTTAAAATGAAGAGAATATGGTTAAAACAAATTCCGTAATTTAACATTTTCGTTTCCCAAACAGAAGGATAATATTATTAAATACAATTTTTGTCGCATCACGTTGTGCATGAAGCTGATCGTTAAGCTGTAAATCATTTAAACGAATTTTTTTAACTGCAATTTTTAATAACATATTAATGAAACTTGCACAAAAATAATAATTGTAAAACGGTTAATAAGATCAGGCACCAATTTAAATAACTTTATCTTAAAATGTAGAGTAAAATTACGTAATAATAATGACAAAAATTACCTTATTTTTAAACTCTTAATTTAGAAAACAATCAAAATCAAAAACGTAATAATATCAGAACAGGTAAATACCTTCAAATTAGGAATGTAAAAATATTAATAGAAAGACAATACCTTATAACTTTAATTAATTTATTCTAATTATGAGGGAAAACTGGATCCTACCATGTAATTTTTCAACATGGTAGGATCAACAACAACAACAATAGAAAACTGTATCAGATCATAATGTTTTTATATTATATTCACCTCATTCCCGACAATGTTTCATGTTCTCCACGGTAGGAGGCAATATTTGTAAAGGTTGTTACAACTTCCGGTAGAATTTCTGCTAGTGTACACTAAATTGTGTAAATCCGCTTCTCAATGATTAGGTAGTTGCAGTAAAAATATTTTTTTTTATATATTCTGATATTTTAAAATATGAAGAACAATTTTTTTCGCAAAAACACGACACAAATATTAAATTCAGAACAACTGATTATTCCGAGTTTATGAAAACAAATACGGAAGGTCCAAAAAAAGAAATAGTCACGTCAATGCTATGACGTCAGAAGAGGACCTCAAGACTTCCGGTAGGGTTTGCTTGTATTTTAGGTTAGATGGTGAATAGAGATAAAGGAAAAGAAGGAGCTCGGGATATTACTAATTAATATTGTATAAAAATTGCACTTTGAAATAAAAATACTGACGAATCTATAGAAGAAAGACTATGTAATTCAAATATAATAGAATAAATAATTTAAACACTTACATAATCGTGAAATGCTTTTGCTTCACTAGAATGTTCACATGTGTCTCTTCTTTCAGGGGCTGCACAATATAAATCCCAAAAGACACTAGAAAGAAAAGAATGTTCCATATGAATTCCAGAAAACTAATATCAACACAGAATAAGAAAATTTAAAATATCTAAAACACAATGAAAATATTAATTAAATCTAAGCGAATTAATTATAAGCAAAATTTAAAAAAAAAAACAAACGAAAATTGTCATGCAAAGAAAGCTCTTAATTAATAGAGCTGTACGACTTATATCGTGAAACGTCTAAATTCATTAAATACCGCTGTTGCGATAGTAAGTGTTACGATATACCGCGAATACAACATCAAACGATTTGATTAATTGCATTTGGTTTACTAAAATATGCAGCAAAATATTAAAATAATGTTAGTTATTACAATTAGAAAAATATCGTGAAAAACCGATTACATTGTGAAAAACCGATACTTGTTGACAATATAGCGCTATATTAACCTCATCATTACCTCAGTTCACATTAAAGTGAACCTTCTTCTTAGCTTCTAAAAACAGGCTTTACGAAAATTAATACTTCTCAAAATTTATACCTTATAAGCTTTTTGGGGATTCCAATCGATGTAAGTTATTTGGGTCGAATTCCACATAAACAGAAGTGATTTTCGTAAAATAACGCCAAATCCACTTGCTCGTAAAAGCAAGTAATTTTAACTATTATATAATGTAGTTATTCTGAAAAAAAAATTTTTTTTTCTTCCTTTGACTTAGTAGATCTGTATGAAGCTTTAAAATTTATATTTACATAATATTTAAAAATAATACAGTCAAGAACATGCAGGTACACGTATGTGTACCTTCGTATGTATCACACAATTTATGACAGCGAAGCAGTAAAGTGAAACAGCTATTTTATTATGAGTATTTAGTTTTATATTCTTTTAGTACAGTCAATTCGCTATAACTCGAAGTACGATAACTCGAATATTACTATAACTCGATTTTTTATGAGGTCCCGGCCCTTTTATCTTTAATTTCATGCTAATTATTCTCGATTACTCGAATTTTACTCCCTGTAACTCGATTTTTTTTTTAAATCTTTTAAAGCAAGAAAAAAAAAGCTAGGAGCTGATATCTTGCCCCTTCCTTTGCAACACACACACAATGTCTTTTGCACTCTTCATGGAGAAGCTAAAGCTGTCCCTCTTGNCATATTTTTTAAAGTGTAATTTTTTTTTCTAAATAATTATTAAATCAGTTCATCTGTTGTTGTTTTTAAATCGACCGTAAAATAACAATATGCATGTTTGGTCCCATTTAACATTTGGAAATTAACTTATTCACCAATATAGGTGATTAAAATGATTAACCACTCCCATAATTTAAGAATTTCAATTATTCTTCATGGATTCGCGACCAATTGCTTCGAATAATCGCAGTTCTACGGTATGCAACAAACCATTTTCATAAAGTTAATTTTATGCAGGCAAAATAATGATAATAAATAATTACTATGTTGATTATTTATAAGCTAGGGGGTCCCAGTCGCCAACCAATAATTGCTTCTTATAATCATACATGGCTCTAAGGAGGGGGGGGGGGAATATTGTCCGCTCAAAGCTATAATTAATCAATTAAACATAANATTTTTTAAAGTGTAATTTTTTTTTTCTAAATAATTATTAAATCAGTTCATCTGTTGTTGCTCAAAGCTATAATTAATCAATTAAACATAAAATATAAATTAAATCTATCTCTTTTGTCGAAGAGCTTTCCCTTTACTTAATATTGAATTTAATTGTTGGATTACACTCAACTCCTTCTAGAGCTTTGGTATTTTACTCGATTGGGATAAAATTTAAGCCAAAAGTATTTTGGTAGATTATGTAATACTTTTTTTTTTCTTTAAAAAAAATATCACTTCGAATTTAGCATATTCGCTACAGCAATTTGGGCGAATTCACTTGCAGGCTCGTTAATTTTTTATACCAAATAAATTGACCTACCATTTATATTTCAATTTTATGCACAAAGCTATCCGTTAGATTTGTACTCATCTACAGTACATAAAAACGCATTTAATGTTTTTGGCCAATTCAAAAATAACGCGAAAGGTAAACGCGAAATATTAATTACTAGCAACACTTTTCGCAAACAATTATTTAAATCACCATTCTTTAAATAGGAAAAATAACCAGCTAGTGTAGTAATTACTTTTTACACTAATCAGTTAAACACACTCACACACATTAAAAAAAATTTTAAAAAAAAAGGTAGGGAAAAAATTATCGCTTTTCAAATTCCAGGTTTTCACAGAATCCACTAGTCTGGTGATATGATTTAATATTATATATTTTATTATTTATTTAGTTGTCGTTTGTTCAATAAAATTAAAATATTTTCCATTTATAAACGTTAAAGAATCTTTGTGAATTTGGTAAGAGTTTCTGAAAAAGAATTATTTAATTATAAATAATTCGCAAAAGAAATATTTAGTTTGCCTTCCATATAACTGGAATCTCCCAAAAAAAAATAATGAAAAGAAAATAATAAAATATAAAAAGCAAGATTTGTAAATCTAAGGCTTACATGCCGAAGAAAAATTTATATCCTTTTATTAAAATGCGAAAAATTATTAAATAAACATTTTTAAAGGTGTTAGCTCTATAGTTTCGTTATTTTTACTCGCAACTTCCGTTCAAAATGCTTATTTATTTAAATAAAGCAATAAAGGATTATATTGAGCATTTGTGGATGGAGGAAACTTGATCTCTTAATACCTGTTGAAAGCCAAGGTAAAGAGATGAATAAGAAAATGAAAGTGAATGGTTGTAGAACACCTCTTTAGTCAAAATGGCAAAGAATAACGGTAGACGAATTTAACACAGGAGACTTGGAGGAAAAAAAAGGTGAGAGGGGATCGAATGGGGGTCATATAGACCGGTAAACAACGAACAATAACAGTGAGGAAAACGGTCGCTGCACGAGGTCGCAAATAGGAATGAATGCGACAGCTGTAAGCGATTTGCAGTTTACACCGCCAACAGCGCCAAATCTCCGGAGCAGCTGAAGAGTCAAAAAGGTAAACGGTAGTTGATGCATTCCGAAGGATAAGCGGGAATTTCAAAAGTACGCGGTTGTGATTTCGTCCATTACGATATTTAGGGCAGCTACTCATAAAGTAATCTAGCTGGCGTTAAACTTATGGATCGTAAAATAGAGGTGAAACAAAGAATAATTTAGGTATCCCCTTATACAGGGTGCGTAGCCAGATTTTTCAACAAAAAATAAGCACCTTTTAAGTACTTCTCAAGCACTCAAAAAATATTTTGAATCACTTTCCAAAACCAAATTATTATTGGGATCTGCGCAGTCATAATTTTTTTTCCCTATCGTTTTCATTTCTTAATTATAACCATAAAATTAAAAAATTTTACGTAATCGTGATAAAATAACTAGTGTCTGATAAATATTGCAAAGAAAATTGTGAAAATCTTGAATTTTTTGTAATTTAGAACAACAATCGATACGACAAACAAAAATCTCTTTTTAAAAGATAGAAAATTAAGCACTTTTTACAAACACCGAATAAAAAAAGCACCTTTAAGGGCTTTTAAAAAACGTAAATCAAAAATAAGCACCTTTTTAAAAAGCTACGCACCCTGCTTATAGTTCATATATATATATTCTGAACTTTTTTTTATCGGATCGCCCACTTTTCCAGTCAGAAAATTTTTAACGCTCCTACTAAAAAAAAAAAAGACTAAATAAAGGATTTTTTTTTATTCCATTTTAAACTTTTTGTGCGCTTTGTTATGATACACTTCTTTAATTATTTAAATTTATTGAAATTATAATGACTAGCGCTTGAAAGCACTTTTATATTTATTTTGATAAAACAACTCATTACTGTAAAATTTTTAAAGTGTTTAAATAAAAATTAATTTAATATTTCACTTTTCGGTTAAAATTAAATATTATATTTCTTATATCGTACAAAAAATAACTATATATTTCACAAAATATATCTTACAGGGTTTAGAAAATTCCGGTTTTCTCAGTTGATATTATTTCTATACGTAAAATTTGAACCTCGCATTTGAATAATCACTTTTTGACTAGCTCAATTTATGCCGATAGTATCGTAAATCCATGTGGTGTTTCGATTATATTTTTGGCAGTTATTGATAATGATTTTCAAGTGGTTTTTAAATATTCACTATATTTCTGACAATATGCAGGGGTCTGTTTAGAAGAAANCAAAAAACAGGACCTTTCACAAAATGTCTGGACAGACCCCTGATATGGAATATTCGAATCGTGCATTTGAATTTCTAATTTTTAACGCAGTCATTCTTTCGATTTTTTGGCGATTATTGCTATTGATTTAATACATTCATTTTAATTTTCGGTTGTTGTAATAAATAATATCGTATTATAAATATCGAATCTTGAATCGAAACACTCATTTAGTAACCCTTTTTGAAAAGTCCAATGAGCGTGATTTCGCCAACCACTTTTCCTTTGGTTGTTCGTTAGTAGTGTTACGTAATCCACGATTTTAAATTTCTTTAATGTGATGATGACTTACAAACTGTGAAAAGGAAATAATTAGAGTGTTTTTCCCTATAAAATGAGAGAATTAGGGCATAATATTAGAATTTAAAAAAAATAACACACATTTAATTAAAAAAATTAAATACAATTTTATTTCATCCAAATAGAGATAAATAATAAAAATATAATAAATATTAAAAAAAAAAAACACTAGGCTTTTATTACTTTAAACTAGTAACATAGTGTATATTTGTTAGTTTCTAAAACTATAGTTACATAGTGTATATGCGTTAGTTTTTAACAGTATCTCGCAGAAAGACATAAATGCTGGATAGCTTTGTGGCAGAAAGATCGAAAAAATTCTGCCACAGGGATTCTACGTAAAATCGACATTGTCTTTTGGAGATATCTGAAAACTGCTTCAGACTCGAGAGTTATTTTAACTTAAGAAACTCTGTTTCGTTGCTAATATATTCATCATATATCTAACATTTAAACATATAATCTTTACGAAGAATACCTTAA